AAAAAAAAAAAAAAAAAAAAAAAAAATCTATATGCTAATCTCAGAGGAAGAAAAAGCTAGTCATTGCTGCACAGCTGACAGATGGAGGGAACAAGTTAAACTGTCATGAGAAACAGCAGTTCTGTGAGAAAATCTCTCTCCACATTTCTGCGGAGTTCTGGAAACATCAACCAATAGGCGGAGAGCAGAGCAAGACCACAGAGACACTTACAGAGCCTGTTTATTGCATAACTAGCAGGCACAGATTCCAAAACAAGTTTACAACATGTGAAGTGTCCAATAATTACAAGAACACGATGTACAATAAAAATGAGAAATAAGTACAGAATGATGAGTGACACACATGAAACACTTGAGTAAAAGGCATCTCATTTTTCCTATGCAGCATCTTCTTTTGTAAGAACAAGGGTTATCTTCAACTAGGACAAGGAAGAAAAGAAAATGGGCCATCAGGAAGCTTACAGGGGCTGCTGAGGATAAAAACATGCAGCTTCACTCTCGAGTCTACGACTCATGGCACCTGAGGACTGGGAAGCAGCTCCCGAGTTGTGCGTTTCAAGTTCCAATCTCATGAAATGCTGTCCTTGATCTTTGGGCCCAATGCATTGTTCTTTGGCAAGGAAGAACCATCTGTGTTCTAAGTGGAAGATGAGCTCGGTGCCAAGGAGCTCAGGGGCAGAGCTGCTTCCTCCTGTTTAGCCAGGTGCCAGCTCATAAAGTGCACCTCTGTCCCGTCAGTTTCGTGGAAGGGGTAAAACACGACAGGCTGCAGATGCGGCTTGTGCAAGGCCATGGGATCCACGTGCAAAAGGGGCTGCAACAAGCATACAATGTGCGACCTGCCAACAGGAGCAGAGAACTCGGACACCAGCTCTCGGCCCAGGCTATGGAAATGTGCAGAACACGTGGCCCTCCCACTGCCTGCTGCCCCACCTGGGAACTCCTGTCTGACTTTGGCACTGCAGGTTCACCAGGCAAACTCTTCTGTGATGTTCTCACGGCTATAAACACTTTGTTAGTCCCTACATTCCTTGACGTCATCTAGGGGCATAAAGACAATGTCCTCTGCTGCAGGCACTTGGGTGTACTGCTGATGACTCACTTCCCAGAGCCTCTGTGGTCTGTCCTCCCTGGGCAGCCAGGGCATGGCTCAGTATCACCACTGGGCCTTTCCCAAGGACCCTGACAGAGGGGCAGGTGTTTGCAAGGGAGAGGAGGGACGGTTGAGTCCATGGAGCATGCAGACAAAGCTGGCAGGCAGTGGTTGAGCTTACGGTAGGAGGCCCTTTCTAGAAGGTGTCTCCTGAGCATCCACTGATGCAGCACTTAGGGCTGTGTGAACGTGTCAGTGGCAGAGTCTGTTGGATATGTGACCCTTGTCCCGTGCTCCTCAAAGTGCAGTAAGTCAGAGCAGGCACGCACCGTGACCTAGGAAAGCCAGCACCACGGTGGTGCTGTGTCAATGACAGCGTGTGATCAATGTGTAAACGTGTTCATCAGTCAAGGCTGTGCAGACAGAGGCTTGGTCAGCACATGGGGAGGTGACCTGAACTTTGATCATTTTGACTTCTTCACCAACGACTCTGGGGGACAGAATGTATGGGTAAAAAGAGGGCCAATGGCAGTTTAACAGAGGGTAGATGGCAGCCTGCCAGGTCCCACTCAGGGGTGAATGCAGTACAGCTGGGGAGGTGAGGCCCTCCTGCCGCACAGTTTATAGGCCCTGCATGGGAGCTGTGAGTGGCAGCTTGGAGGTTCACAGGTCAGCCGTGCCGTTTCTGTGAACATGTCCAGAGTGGTTGCCAACATTCGTAATTAGAGGTAGCACCAAAAAAATCCAGATTTCTGGTGTCTCTTGAAACAAAAAAATCAAAGCTTTTCCACTGGAAACATGAACGGAGTGGGGAAAGTGCTGCCCTTGATGGGCGGCCAGGGCTCCCCAGCTGGGCCGCACTCGCCCCCTGCTGTGCACTGGGCTCACTTCACTTCTTAAGCGCAATGCCTGCTCCATCAGGTCCAAGACCCCTGCAAGGAGCAGCACAGGAATGTGGTCTAACAGAACAAGAAAGGGCTTCAAGCCTGGACACGTTATAGATTTCGACCTCTACTCTTTCATAGCTTTGGGAGAGCTGTGGTCAGGTGGGCACACTCTCCATGGAGTTCTTGAAAGAACTCTCATGTCTGGTTGCTAAGTACCAGCAAGGTAAGGGGGAAAAACTATCTCGGATGATTGTTTACATCTTACCTTGAAGTCCTTACAGACGACGGGACATGCGAAGCAGCTCACGTGAGGAAAGCTGTCAGTGGTTAAAGGAGTAACTGAGTTTTGGAGGAGAGGTACAATGCAATGTCAGTTCATGGCAGTGATACCTGAATGGGTGGTACAAAATCAGTTATGGCTTGTTAGACCGATGTTTCTCTTTGCCGGATGTTCTAAATGAACTGTCTGGCTTAGCGGGTAAGGCAGAGGGCTTGACAATGGGTGGCAGATGACGGGGGTGCTCCTACCCTGAACTGTGGTAAACGGGACATGATGTGGAGGGTGAATCTTTATCTGAGGAGGCTTCAAGGTGACGGTTAAATAGAAACAGAAAATCAAGATTAAAAAAAAAAACAAACAAACAGAACGTTTAACACGATAGAACAATTAGAAATGAAGCAATTCATTGTTTCCTCCAACAGAGGTTGTTACACTGCTTTTAGAAAGTGGCAAAGTCCTTTCTCTGCATACCTGCTTGGAGATACCCCAAACTTAAGAGATTTTGCAGGATGAAAAATTCACTTATTGCACAATGCTTCGTAGGGAATAGGTAATGTTGATTTTTTTTAATCCAACTCTTTCAAGAAAATGTTTTACTAAAATATCTCATTTGTAGTTTTATCCGTAGGCAGGAAGTTTTAAGGTATGGAAAAGTTTTAACAAACTTTGAGCAATGGAATTACTTCTGGGCGTATACGATCATGACTCAAACAGTCGCAGACAACACAACAGGACGTCAGAAACTAAACTTGGTAAACAGGCACAAAATAAGGCAAGTGGGTTAAATTAATAGTCAAAAATTTGTTAGAAAACATGCAAAAATAATACTGAGTTTTCTTTCAAAAAGTTTTAAATTGTCATTAAATGTTTTTGTAAAAATCTGAAGAGTTCCGGGTCTAAATTTGAAATTGGATTTTGAAAAGCCTAGAAAACACACGGGATAGCGCTGCTGCTCAGTTGTTGTTCTCTTTGGTGGTGATGGTGACCAGCTGTTTGGCAGCCTTGGCGATGTCATAGGCACACTGGATGACCTGCTGTGTGACCAGCTGGACGTCGGTGGGTGAGCCAGGGTCCCCTGGGAGGGCCTTCTTGCACTCTGACTGCAGCCGGTAGGCACTGGATGTCAGTAAACGAAGGGAAGTCCTCACCATGTCAGACTTGGGTTTCTAAACACAAAGACACAGCCATTTGTCATGGGCTACAGGGTGGACGTCCACTAGCAAGGGTCAAGCAGGCTCCTGCAAACAATTCAAGTTGTTCTGTATGGCCAGAGGCACTTTTGTTTCTCATGTTTTCAACAGAGACGCTTTAAACGTAGAGCGCTGTGCAGCCCACAGTACAAAAGATGTGGAAATGCGCTGACTCAAGGGCGAAGTACATGCATGATACTTTCAGCACTGTGTGCTATTTATTTTTGGGGTAGTCTTCAAAAATACGAACCCATGTAGGTTTTTTGTTTTGTTTTGTTTTGGTTTTGGTTTTTTGAGACAAGGTCTCACTATATAGCTCAATCCTCCTGCCCTCAGTTTCACGAGTCCTGGGATTACAGATGCATGCCACCACATCCAGCAGTAGGTTACATATTTCAGATAAAATTTTATTCTATTAATGCTTTTCCTTTTAGTATTTGACTTGTATATCCTTGTCTTGTAATTACGTTTTTTTTGAGACAGGGTCTCACTATGTAGACCAGGCATGAGCCACCTCTCCTGGCCTTTCTTTTCATAAGGAAGTCAGCATTCAGGTAGAGCAAAAACATTCCCATGGCCTATTTGACTTCATATTTAAAACTCTATGTGCTACAAAACAGTTAATACAAAGGTCATAAAGAAATTTGTTCATTTGAAAGGATCTAAGAGAGTGAGGTGGAGGTGACTTACTTTGGGGAATAATGCTGCCATTTCTGTAACAGCTACATGTATCCTCTCTGAGCAGGGGATATAACTGCAAAACATTGAAGAGATTATTTAAAGACAGTCAAACTGATTCCAAGGCAGAGAATTCTCAGAAGCCAGAAAATGTCCTGATTGCACTCTTTTAACGAAGGGGCAGAGGGGCTGCCCACCATGTATCACACATCAATAGAAGGCACAGTTACAAAGCGGGGTCACGTTTACTGTTGGCTGGGGGACGCCACAAAACAGTACACAGACATCCACACACGCCTCTTACTTCTCGTTTTCATCTCCCTAATTTCCAGAAAGACAAGAGAAACAAGGAGTTCCATGCCAAAGTCCACAGCAGTGAGAAATAAAGGCCTGAAAAAATGCCTTGAAATTATGATTGGAATCTACACATTTAATTCGTGTGTGTCATTTAACCAATGTTTAATACCTGGGTGCCATTTAACCAACAGACACTTCTAAATTCCTTTCATTCAATTATGTCGGGGAGTCTAAATCTTCACTTTGTGCAAACAGAAAACACTGAGGTCTTCTTCCCAAACTCATTCAGACACTGCTACTTCGTCGCCAAGCCACCACATGCTTGTGAGAAGATGCTACTAATGCTGTCAGCATTTTCTTTCACCCGGATGAGCTCTGAGAAAACAAGCCCGATCCGTCCTTTCAGGTCACTCGGACTTGCAGGCCCCACATGTGACACCACTTTTGGAGACTCACTTCACATGCTCTATGGCTCTGTGAGGCTGGACTATTATCACACCCATTTTCAAGTGAGAAAACTGACCCAGAGAAGAAGATAGGACCGGATCTCAAAATGTAAGAGGAGGGCCAGGGATTTAGCTCAGTGGTTCCACCGCCTGCTTCGCAAGTGCAAGGTCCCGAGTTCCATTCTCAGTACAAAAAAAAAAGTAAGAGGAGGGCTGAGCTTAAACACAGGGGCCACAGACTGGCATCTCTTTATGCAAGCCTCTTTCCCCTCGAGTGGTCACCTAGCTTCTTATGATAAGAAAGAACAGAATTAAGATAGTTTTATACAGGATTCTTATTCTTAGTACTATGACAAACAACAGATGAGGCAAGCTTCCCCTACCTTAAAAATGTTAGGTTTTCACCCAGAGGAGGGCCCAGACAGACAAAAACAGCTGGGTGGCGAGTAAGGCTCAGCAGAGCATGTGCTTAGCATGAGTAAGGCATTCAATCCCAGGACCATACAATCACGAATGGACGATGGTGTCAAGTGACATTTCTTAGATACCACACTGCTGCCCAGCCTGGGCTTAGTGTCCAGGACTCACTCACAGTGCAGTACATGGGAAAAGAGAAAAGCACTCTTGGGCTCTTTTAGCAAGTTAGGAAATACTGCTGCAAACAATGTTCCTTTGGCATGACATAAGCCATAGGGCTGTGTTTTCAATTTTTCCTTCTAAAATACTGAACCAAATGCCGTTCAACATCCATCACAGACTGAAAGCCCTCAAGGAACATTCTTTCCTCATTTTTTAAACCATGAAGTTGGATTCTGAATAAAGATTATCACAAGCAATCTCTGTACTTCATCTTTCTAAGAAATTCAGTATCAAAACTATTTTAATTCATACTGCCAAGTTTTTTTTTTTTTTTTTTTTTTTTT